CATCCAATTCTTATGTATTTACATATCTAATTTATAAACTTTACTTCTTGCATTTATAAAACCCAAGAATTTCATATAAGAAGAAAAAATATCACTACTTCAAATTTTTAACACCACTATTTTAAATTTTAAAAACTAAAAGGCACCTTTTAATGTATAAATAAGGTGTTATGTATGTAAAAATTGAAGACTACATGTTAGATATGTAAACATATAAGAATTGAGTGACATGTAGGTAAATTTCCCAAAACTAAGCAATGATGGGTCGGAGAAAAACTTTAATCGCACATTGGATTTGGCCGTTGTTTGGTTGCCCTTTAAAGCAAAAGGCATAGCGGCAATAATTGAGCTTTGTTGTTATTCTAAGCACGTAACCACAAATTATTTCTTTTAGAATTTTTCTTCAAAAAAGTAAAAAAACAATAATAAAAAATTTTATAATATGAACTTTAATCCCTGAATTTGATCACCTTGAACTAGCAATCCCTGAATTTGATCAGCTTGAACAAGCAATCTCTTAGGTTTGGTGAGCCAGCCTCGTATCAAAATATTTACACTTCATTGCGTGCACTTGAGTTTAAACAAATATTTTTTGGCTAGATGCAGATTATATTTTTGAGGGTACAATCAGTATCGAAATTCAAGTGAGGCACTAAATAAACTATCCAAATTCAAAAGGGGGCAATTGCCAACCTGGGCACACGCACGCGCACAGATTATATTTTTGAGGGGGCAATTGATGAATAGCACAAGCAACGAACCAACTTAATAAACCATCGCAAGTTAACTTCAATTCAACCTCAATTGGAAAAGAAATGAGTAATTCACAACCCTAGTCTGGACTAATCTTGGTGGGTTGTTTGTAATTACATTGTAAAATAGAATTACATCTTGTATCGTTAAGATGATTTACTTATTATGATCAATTATTAGATTATTTACTAAAAAACCATTTAAATTGTAACAACATTCACTTGTGTGATTCATAAGATTAAATTAACTGACTATAAAAGCACCCGCATCAACACCTTAAGATATCCTTTAGTGCTATTAAATACTAGTACTAAAGTAATTAAATTTACGTCATTTAATACTATTAAATTTACCATACAAAGATATTCCATTAAAATCAAAACGAGAATAAAAAAATATTATATTTTACTGCTTACCCACTACCATCTAAGATTACTGCGAAGGAACAAATGCTTTTCATAGTAAGTTCGGTGCAAACATTCAAGATATAGAAAAAGAGAAATGCTTTAAAGACTAAAAAAATCAACACATTTGATCACATGGCATGTCCCACATATGAGCAATATGATGCAGAGTCGCAAGCCAGCACAATCTTTTAAGATGTATATTATAGAAACTTTGCTGTAAATGTGCTAACTTGAGAATGTGTAGTAAGCATTTCTGATAGAAAAGTTCAGTCGGGATCCGTTAAACGACCGTTTTCCTCCCATTCAGAACCTTTCTTTTCAGTGCCCAGGAAGAATTTATAGCTTGTTTTCAGCAAAAATATAAAAATAGAGAGTAAGCAGCTAACTCGGCAAAACATTTATATTCATTTCTCAGACAACGAGAACCTTAAAACATCATATTAATCCATATAAGACAACAAAGCACTCCAAGATTACCAAATGCCCTTTTACCCCACTGCTTCACACTAACAAGATACCACTGATTTAAATTAAACCAAAATAGAGTACTTGAATTTCTACTCATGCATTTTAACAGGTTCAATGTTTGTCGATTTTAAATTTGGATAATCGAAATCATCATCATGATAGATCAACTCAGAAGAAGGTACCTTCAGGAGGCTGACCAAGTTTCCTGTTATGTGGGGCAGCCATTTCCTTCTTCAGTTGTGTCAATATGTGCTCCATCGTGTACTCACGCTGCCAATTTGACAGCATATTTAACTTCTTTGGCTCAACCTGCATTTGTTCAAATGAGCAATGAGCTTAACAGCTCGTCTGAACATATAATAAATATATGAGCTGCTTCAATTGCCGTATAAATTCAACGGTGAACTGTTAACATGAATAGGAAGAGCTATGATAAAAATCAAGAGAGACCCAAAATTAAATGTATGAAAAAAAATTCTGAAAAGGTACATTTTGGTTAAGTCTACAACAACAAAACAAGCTTTACAAGCATACCTGGATAAACCACTGTTGAAAACACATTTGCAATGAAAAAATAACAGAAACGTTATTCATGAATATGTAAAACATTAAAAAAAGGGCATTTACATACAGACCACACAATTCTTAGGTATTTACATATCTAGCACCTAAACATTCATATTTACATGCATATCACTAAAACTTTGAACATCACATCAAATATACCACCATCACTATCATTTTCAAAGTGAAATACACATTTTCATACATAAGTTTATGATAACGAGGTGCTGTAAATGCAAATATCAAACTTTGGGGGTCAGTTATACAAATGCATAAGAATCATTTGGTATGCGAGATAATTTCCCTAAAAAAAGCCTTCTTAATTTTTTTCTCTGAAAATAAAGGGGTAGAGGACGTGCATACCACTCCTGTGTCATGGTTAACACAAGTCAAGTTTATTCGAGAGTGAAAACGCACAGAAGGTGGCTTGTCAGGGTAGTCTTTGTCGCAAAACAGCTTAAGTTGATAAATTCTCCCTTCATGAACAGACTGCATAGAACATAAAGATGCCAGATATTAGAATAGTTTATACTTTCCATGATCTCGCAATAGAGCTTGCATAACTAATAAAGAATTCTTTACATTGTGAGGGCCAATTATAGTCCCTGTCCAGGAGCGCATGTAGATGTCATCCGCATCATCCATCCCATAGCTAACAGTCCCATCTCCTATACCCTTCTCTCCTCGCTCAAGCTCTTCAAGCAATCTGAAGTTCCGCGGAACTGCACAAGGACACAAGCATTGATAATCAAATCCTTCTAAATGCCACCAAAACACAGTTCAAGAATATAATTTTATTCTTGAGCTAAAATTTTATATCTTAGAAGTGACACCTCAAACAGGCGTCTTTTTATCGAATTCCCTCGACTTCATTTAAATCCTTTCAAACCAAAGATATACTATCCTAAATATAAAAATGGGCTTAAGGTTTAAAATAAGGCGCATCAGAAAAATAAACCTGATTTAAGCATTATATTAAGAGCTGCCTGTTGCTAGTTTTTTTTTTTTTTTTTTTTTTTTTAATGTTGTAGTTCTTTTACATCTCAGAAAACTTGTTGAACCAAGAAACTACAAATCTATCTTTAAGATGGTTAGCGATTACAAACTACAATCTGAAAAATGAGCAAATCTTCATGGGATAGATACTGCAAGTTAATTTCAAGATAATTTGTGTAACATACAAGCACTAGAATAACAAAAATGCATTAAAGATACACATAAAATTCAGGAACATCAAAGAATAACTCCATTTCATGAGGTTTTAGAATGACGCTCAACGTTGTTGAGCAAAATTGCTATATTTTCGTTCATCATCCTCTTGACCATACTCTCAGATTGTTTGAGTAAATATTGTGAGCACAACACCGCAAAATTTTTTGATGAAGAAACTGAAAGAGCAATAGGTGTTATCCGTGTAAGTGCCCCATTCTATTGAAACCAAGCAACACACAAAAGCCAACTTTTTCATACTAGAAACTTTAAATATCTCTTACAAATCTTTTGTAAGCTTCGTGACTCTTGTGAGTTTGGGATTGGATGTTAAAAACTTCATTGAATCGGTTCATCATATATTAGCAATGTGCTCTACAAATGACTTGCTTTCAGCCTTTATGAGGAAGCATTGTGTTTTCCAACAAATGTGAGAGATTGTAAGCAGATTTCATCCAGAGATGAGTTCTCGAGGAGTTGTCGTAGGGCAATTAGGAACAAATTACTAGTAATTAGTTTCCATTTTCTACCTTTTAGTTCCATATTTAAATTCTTGCATTTAATTAATTACTGTCCCAGTGGAAATCACTAAAAGGTATTCCTTAGACACGCACTCTTTCAAAAATCTAACTCAAAATCCCCTAGTTTGTGCACAAGCACAACCATACACATAGCCTGCAAGTATTGCTAGATCCTATTATACCAATAAAACCCAAGCATGGCAAAAGTGATCAAATAAAAAAAACTATACAATTGTGTTAATCTAAGGTGTAAATTCATATTTCTGAAGCAAAGGAAATTCATGACTAAGAATGGTATATGTCAAGCAAGAGACTCGATAGCAAAAGAACAGGTAGGAATGGTTAAATCTATGAATCCAGTAAACCTCTTATACTTCAATTCATTGACAATGTACCATGGGCCTAAATTTAAATACAAAATAAGACTCAATGTATCAAATAATTTCACAAAAAAATGGTTTAACTGACCAGTTGGCATACCATAATAAGTAACATTGACACCTAGAAGTAGATTTATTTGGATAGTGACATGTGCAATTTAACATAAATATGTCATAAAACTTGACTTAAATAAGTCGTAATACAGATATGAATCCTCTGGGAAATTAAAAAAAGCAAGAAACCCACTCGTAATACCACTGGATTTTATACCAACCATATAGTTGCCTCTTCAATTCCGTTATTCAAATAGGCATAAAAGGCCAGCAAGGTTATCGATAGTTCACTCTATAAGATCTACCTATTTGAGGCAGCCTGGAAGGGCATTGCAAGATCAGGCAGTGGTGCTCAACAAAGATGATTTTGATTAAACAATCCTGAGAAAATACATGCCATTTCCTTCCAACCCCACCTCAAGGACAAGTAATGCCAAGCCACTGACTTCATCATGATTACTAACTGCAATGCTCTGGCATCATCAACATGTGAAATTCTGCTACCAATAAACATCATAATCTCCCTCTAAGAAAATAGGACAATAAGGTCTGCATCCAAGGGAGATCAAGATTAAGACATCTTTAAAGCCAAAACCCAAAAGTCACTGAAGGCTACAACCATTCTGTGGCAAGAACTACAATGCTTAGAATATATTTGTTACAGAGGTCATTTGCGAGTAGAGGAAAGAAGAAAAAAAAACCATCCTTGCAACATCCAGCCATATAAAATCAAAACAACTTAACTGCAATCAACACCACTATTGAGATCACATGGAGTATGAAGTCTTCAGAACCATCACAAAGTTCAACCAAAAGAACACAACATCAGAACAAGAAGACCCACAGACAAGATCTTGTTTTTCAACTTTAATAGCTCCACTTGGATAGGTGTAGGATCATCACCAAGAATCCAGAAAAAAGAGTTCGATATAAACATCAACCAAAACAAATTTATGGAATAGGATATGCCAATATCAGAATCGATTAACCTATTGGAACATTCACTTGGTATGTTCATGTCGGCGCTAAAAGGGGATAAAGTTAAAAGGTCAAAGTTGGGTGGTTTGTTCAAAAGTTATCCGTAAGAAGCTATCGATCGCTAGAAGTGAAGTCCCGTCGCCCGCTTCAGAAAGACGTTTTGATTTACATATATATATATATATATATATATAATTAAATAAAAGAGTGTTGTACCTTAAATCCTGCATCTATCCCAAAGGATAAACACAAGACTTGAGGATGAGGCTCGAACAAATAAACTTGGTCTATGAAACCGTTTTATTTGCCGACAAGTTCCCCTATTTAATACAAAGAATTAAATAGGGTTTATTTTAGGCTGGGTTCGGAAAAATTTCCTATAAGGGCAACCCCTAAAGTTAATTACATATTAAATGACCGAAGTCACTTAAGAAAACTCTCGATAAAAATCAGGGAATATTATCTTCATTTATCTTCAAGGAGTTCAAAATGATAGGACTTTTTAATGAGCAGATCGGACGAAAAAGTGTGAAAGGGGAAATACTCAAATCTGAAACATTGTTGAGGAATCCAAACGAGAAAGAACTAGGGGAGGTCGTAGATCCGGAGGCGAACCCTAGTGACTTCCCAGGCTATCCTATTCTATGGTTTGGCTCCAATTTTAGGAAGACAATATTAAAGTGTTTTATCCTGCCAATTTTATTTAATTACGGCTTATATTGGCGTGACACGGTCACACAAGTCGCCCAGAATATATGAGGGTTTACGTCGTATCGGACGACAACCTCAGAACCTAGAACGAGTTAGTGCATAAATCGTACAGTAGAGCTATACGAATGCCTAAAGAAAAGGTAGATGATTTATGTTGCGCTAGGCAAACAACCTCGAAATCCTATGATTTGTTGTTTGATTTCTAAGAAAAGGAATGGTTTTGCTGAGGAAGACATGTTCTACTGTTAAAGATGGTCGTGCTGCCCACCGCGCTAGCTCCAAGCTCTCCGACGTGACGAGTTTAAGTTTTCTAGGGTGTCCAGTTATGGTGTCAAATCAAACAGCCCTATGGTTATAGTCCTCTAAACATCCTATATAAAAAGGAAACATAACAGTAGAATGCATGTGAAACAGTAATAGGTAGAAATAGAAACATGCTATACAGGAAGAACAGTAGCAAGTAGAAACCCGAATAATATAACATGCTATACAGTACAGTAGCAGGTAAAAACAGAAATGATATAACATGTTGTACAGGAAGAACAGTAGTGAGTAGCAACAGGAAAATAAAGCATTGTAAAATGTAAAGCAAACATGTATGCCAATGAGATCCATCGTTTCTTAAGTATAGCAAGCCTAAATGCATCTCAAAAGCAAAGTTTGGAAGAAACGTCGTCCAAGAAATCCGAGGAAGAGCAAAAAACTCGAGAAAATCAACGAGAAGAGACTCAAGTAAAAGAAAATCCTCAAAAATCCTAGAGAAATCCCGAAAGAAAGGAAAAGTAACACAAGTGTCCTGTCCCAAAGCTTTGATAAATCAAAACAAAAAAAAAAAGTCAGGTGAGCGTGACCGCAAGCACTTGTATGGGACTAGGCTCAGCTATATATTTATTCTCGAGGGTCCAAGAAGACAGCTCGGTCACCCGAATGTATAGAACCCGTCACTCATCTAGAAGTGTGTCTTGAACCTCACTTAGAGGGTTATTTCCCAGCCTAAACAGATACTCGTCAGGTGGACAACCAGTTTTAAAGTATGTTTTATGTTTTTTAATATGCATACAAATTTTAAACATGCAAAGAAGAGATATCAATTTTGTTTCGTAGAAATGTGTTTTTTTTTTTTTT